TTATTTATTTATTTGAAAGAGAGAGAATGAGAGAGAGCAAGCACATGAGAGGGGTGAGGGTCAGAGGGAGAAGCAGACTCCCTGCCGAGCAGGGAGCCGGATGCGGGACTCGATCCTGGGACTCCAGGATCATGACCTGAGCCGAAGGCAGTCGCTTAACCAACTGAGCCACCCAGGCACCCACGTATCCTGTTTATTAAATATGTATTTTATCAGTTCACATTTGTATGTGCAGAGATAACCTCGGTCACCTTTGTAAGGATTCAAGGCAAACCCTGACCCCAGAACAGAACTGTGGACCGTGGACAGGGCGGCGGGGGAGGGAGAATGGGTGAGTGCGGCTACCTGAGTTTCACAGGTGAGCATGGAAGGTGCCGAGAAAAGTAGGATAGCCTCTGGTCTCCTTGACAGGAAAATGATGATGGCCTAATAATGCTTGTATTGGGATGGGTTTGATTTTAAGAAGTGATGTCATCAGACTTATTTGGTATCTGTATAACTTTTAAAAGGTAGGCACGTAGTGCTTTGTGTGTAGAATTACTTTTTAGTTCTGTTTAAAAGTCTTACAGTCGTGGGATAGTGGGATTTTTGTTTGTCTTAGGAGAAAGAATTTAAACTAGTACAATGTCACTGCATTCTTTGTTAAACTGTAAAATTCTAACTATTTGGATAAGAGACCAGGGTTGAAACATCAGTGGTCTAAAAAAATGGATTAAATATTTCCTGAATTTTTGGCTTTTAGACATCCAAACTTGTAAAAATAACCATGTTCCAGATGGACACCTTTTTTTTTTTTTTAAGTTTTATTTATTTTTTTAAGTAATCTCTATACCCAACCCAATGTGGGGCTCGAACTCATGACCCTGAGATCAAGAGTTGCACGGTCCTCCGACTGAACCAGCCAGGCACCCCCAGCTGGAGACCTTTTATAGTTGGGAGTAGTCAAGTGTCCTAGGAAGATAAACATACAGAAGTGGTTTGTTTAAGCTATCTGAAGTTTGTAATCTAGTAAATTGGGATTAGCATGGTGGTTCCCATACCTGGCTAATCTGCAGAATCACCTGGGTGAGTTTTTTTTTTAAGAAATCAGTTTTTTGGGGCACCTGGGTGTCAGATGGTTGAGCGTCTGCCTTCGGCTCAGGTCATGATCTCAGGGTCCTGGGATCGAGCCCCGCATCGGGCTCCCTGCTGGGCGGGGAGCCTGCTTCTCCCTCTCCCTCTGCCTGCCACTGCCCCTGCTTGTGCTCTCTCTCTCTCTCTGTCAAAAATAAATAAAATCTTAAAAAAAAATCAGTTTTTCCTGGGGCCCTACTCTAGCTACACCTACTGAATTGGGATCCTGCAGGGTAGGATCCGGGAACAAATGAATGAATACACACACACACACACACACACACACACACACACACACTTTCAAAGTTCCCAAATTTGAGGCGCTCAGGTGTAGAAGAGCCCCTTCCTCAGGAACTTCACACTGCCCCGCCCCCCCCCCCCCCCCCCCGGGGCCATGTGGCCGGGCCCTGGCTTGGGCTGGTGTGCCAGAGGTGGAGCTTGTCATTTCCCACTTTGGTTGTGTGAAATGACAATGTGAGGAATTGTGTGTCCAGGATTGTAAGGAGTGCTGGCTGAGTGTTCACTGCATCTCCAACTGTAACCCTCTAATTGATGTGGTTTTGCTTTAGGCCATTTAGAATTACCCTTAGAGGGTTTTGAGCTTTCAAGCAGAGGTTTTTAAGAGGCTCAGCAGATCAAAGAAGAAGAAGAAAATCCAAAGAAACACAGACCAAGCTTGGGTTTGTTTACTCCTTTGTTACAGTTACCAAGTTTAGCTGCCTCCCCACCTCAGGTTCCCCGAGTGTCTGTGTGGTTTTAGTTCTGTTCCTTTCAGAGACACCGTCCCTTTGTGTCGCTCTGTTGCTAGGCAGCCCCTGGACTGATGCCATCGAAGAGCTCCAGTCTGTCCGGCAGGGGATGTGGCCTAAAAGAGTCCTTCCCCTGTCCCCCTCAGGACTGGCTTGCCAGGCCCAGGAGGCTGCAGGAGAACTGAGGCCCAGTCACCTTGCTAGAAGAGTCTTCCCGCAGCTTTCTCTCTCCTCGGGGCTCTTGGGGGTTAGTCTGAAACTCAGCAGCTTTAGGCGGCCTGCTACGTTAGCTGTAATTGTATGTGTCCTTCTTCCTTCTCCACTTGGGCAGACTTTGAAAAATTATTAATGGAGAAATTCAACAATGTACAAAAAGTAGAGGGAAGAGTGTAATGAACTCCCACAGACCTGTTACTGTGTACATTTTGGTGTAATTTGCTTGCAGTTTTTTTTTATTCTGTGCATATTCCTGCATGTCGACCCACCTAAGTCCTTTTGGGGAAATATAGGATTAAAAAATAAACCTAAAAATGAGTTCCAGTTGTTACATAGAATGTTTTGTAGCTTCCTAAAAAAAAAAAAGAAAAAAGAAAAAAGAAAACGTGTTTTTCTCTGCCATTAAAATATGTGTATGGACAATTTTTTAGTGGCATCTGTCAGGGCAGGGCCCACGCTCACAGCGGACAGCAAGACTCCAGAGGGGAGGACAGGCAGGCTGGCCGGCTCGCTGCAGCTTCACAGGGGCCGGAAGCAAGGTAGCGAGACAGTTGATGGCACGGAACACAGCACACAGCAGGACAGCCCCGGGAGTGCCGCCTTCCCGACCCAGGTCCCACGGGGGGACGTGAGGGCCCTGATGATGGCCACGCTGGAATTGGGGCAGTCTGCACTTGAGGAGCCAAGGACCAAGCACCTTTTGTAGCAAGCAGCAGACAAGCCGGACCCCCGCCCCTGGGAGCCAGCGAGTTGTGCTGTGTGGTCTCCTTGACCAACCAAATGTGACAGCGAGACGTGCAGGGCTGCGCAGGCCCCATGGTGGCCGGCCTCTACCAAACACAGCATGTGTGGATGCACCACCCTTTAATTAATTAACCTCTCTCGTTGGTTATTTAGAAGTTTCCACTTTGTTCTTACAACAGATAACTCTGTGACATCATTGTGGGTAAAACGTTGTCCACATTTCTGATTATTTTCTTAGGCTAGATTCCAGCGAGTCCTATCACTGGGTCAGTGAGTTTAGCTTTTTATTTTTAGTCTCCTCATAGGTACTATCAGATGGCTTTCCAAAAACTGTCATATACACATTGACATCTCACTAGTGTATGATTATATTAGTTTATCTTCCCAACATTGAATTGGTTTTTTGTTTTTGTTTTTTTGAAAGTAGGCTCTACCTCCGATGTGGGGCTCAAACTCACGACCCCGAGATCAAGAGTCGCATGCTTCACCAACAGGGCCAGCCAGGCGCCCCTCATTGTTTTTTAATCATTGGCTTTTTTATAGAACATTTAAATATTTTTCTGTCTCTCTCCCTGTTGGTGGGGTGAGCTTCGACTATTCTAAGATCTTGTCTAGTGCCTGTGTAAGTCAGAATGGGGAGATTGTAGCAGCTTCTTCCTCAGGTCACTTTTAACTAATTTATTCAACAGGTATTTATTGAACACCTGCTAGGAGCTGGGTGTTCTACAGGGCTTGGGATTCAGGCATGAGCAGAGTTCTCAGGCCCCTCACATGGTAGGTAGAAGCGGCTGGTTTCTGTGGATAGCGTATGTCTCATCCAGATTCATTTCTCTGCTAAGTTCAGATGCAGGCTTCTTAAGAATAGAGTTAAGGTGGGAACCCGTCTGCTTTCCACGTTGTGGATCGGCATAATCTTCATTTCTTCCATGTTTATTGGACACGGGGCAGTGGTTGAACTTTGTGTCCCCTTGCAGCTGATGAGCATCAGACATCTGTGTTCCCGAAATGTGTTAAAGACTTTTGAAAGTGAGTTCACACAGGGGCGCCTGGGTGGCTCAGTAGTTAAGCGTCTGCCTTCGGCTCAGGTCGTGATCCCAGGGTGCTAGGATCGAGCCCCGAGTCGGGCTCCCTGCTCAGCGGGGAGCCTGCTTCTCCCTCTCTCACTCCCCTTGCTTGTGTTCCTGCTCTCGCCATCTCTCTCTCTGTCAAATAAATAAAATCTTTAAAAATAAATAAATAAAATTCTTTTATGTTAGGAGAGAGAAGACGGTCCCTGTTCAGGGACACCCTGGTTGAGAGGGAGCTTGAACTTTGCTTGATTACTTTGTCTTTTAATACTCTTTCCAAAATGCATTCTTACAGATTCTTCATCAGTCAGCCTTAATTTTTAAAATTTTGGCCGTCTTGTGCCTTGAGCAAATTATCTGTCTTCTCCAAGGGCCACCGAGTTGGGGTAGTGACACAGTCATACCTGCCTCTCCGGTAGGGTCTAATGAAGGGTTTGGTGAGGTGTTCAGTGACATCAGCCGGGGGGCTGGCACGCAGCAGGTGCCTGGGGAGTGTCAGCGCCGATGGCTGTCACCAGCAGACACCCTCCAGGGCTTTGTGGGGCCTCCACAGTGATCTAACACACCAGTGGTGACATTGAAATATCTTTAGTCATAATGAATGCGTTCATTTCCACTTACCTGTTTCAACAAACTTTTCAGGTTTTCTT